TTAACTCTGATTAATTTAAATGACCACGTGGGGCTAATGGTTGCTGTCCAGGAATCTCCTCTGGGGGGTGTGTTGTGAAGGAGTCCTTGGGTGGCTCACACGGAGGCAAACGGTCCCATGCCCTACGTATCTACTCTGATTCTCTCACCAGAAACATTCTGGGTCATACTCATTTTACCCTGCAAAGTGGGGCAGCATAGCTAACTTCTGCATACAGAGAAAGGGTCTGACAAAATCCCAGAAGGACCTCGTTTTGGCCTTGCAAAACCTCCCCCCCACCCCCCATTCTGAGGTCCTTTGGGTGATAGGCTGGACAAAGTCATAGATTCATATGATCTTGAGAGGAAAGGATGTTGAAGACAGCTTTTTTTTTTTTTTTTGACATAGGGTGTATGTGTTTGAAGAGAGAGAGAGAGTGAGAAAGCACCCCCAGGGGAATGGCCCCACCACAATCCTTTCTCCTCCATTGTCCTCTTAAGATGTTGGATACACTCACACATGCACCTGGAGGGTGTTTCAAGTTGCCAGGTCAGACTCAGCTGTGGAGTCGGCCATGTGAGATCCAGCACCCTAACCACCTTAACCATGCCACCTGCTGGCCCCAAAAGGCAGCTGGCCCCAACAGGTGGGCTAGGACCAGCTCCAGTGATCTCTCTGCTTGAGAGCTTATTCTTCCTTATTCAATGCATACCTCACCCCAGTATGTCTTTAGAGAGATTTTTGCTCTAGGGCACATATGCTCACCAGAGAGAGAGAGAGAGAAAAGGCCAGAAATCACCCCCTAGAGAGGATAACCACACAACACTCCCTTCTCCATTCTTCTCTTGGGAATTTGGGCATGCACGCACACGGGCCCAGCATGAGTTTCAAGCCACTGGGTCCAGAACTCGAACCATGGTTGACCACGTGGGAGTCCAGCAGCATGACCACTACACCATCTGCTGGTCCCGCAACTTTTTTTTTTTTTTAATGAGAGAGGGAGAGAGCGTGAGGAGGAAGAAGAGAGATAGTCATGTGTTTTTGGTTGATGTCGTTAAATTTATTTCTTCTATGAGTAAGAGACAAAGAGAGAAGGAGCACCCCAGCAGGGTCTTGATGCCATGATCCGTCCCTAGCCTCAGCCACTCCGAATCATGGGCATGTGTGTGCCCACTGTCCTCAGGGAGGTCTCTGCACAGAGCCCTCTCATGTGGAATAGCCTTGCAGAACTTTGCGTTTTCCCACCAGGCCACCATCAAACCCCTTAAATAGGTATTCTATTTTAAAGATTTAACTGCATTTATTTATTCATTTACTTTTAATTTGAGAGATAGAGAGAGAGAAAGAGAAAGAGAGAGGGAGAAAGGGAACGAGCAAGCTGTCAGGTCCGGGACTCAAACCGTGATCTGCCATGTGAAGATCCAGTGTCTTGACCACCACACCACCTGTTAGCCCCCAAATAGGTATTTTTGATGAGATCTGATTGCAATTCCAGGCAGCTAGGACCACAGGTGCAAGCTACCATGCCTGGCCTGTTTAGGTTGGGCTGGGAATGGAATCTGAGTCTCCTGTGTGGACGCAGCCATTACATAGATGTGCACTCTCTCTTGCACCACCATGGCTGGACCCAGCCTCCACGTTTTATGGAGCACCTGCTAGGTCCAGGCACTGTTCCTGTCTCTGGGATCCAGACATGAAGAAGTTAATTACCTTCCCTGGCCTCAGGGCACTTGAATGAGAGAGACTGGGGGACGGGGGGTTGGTGTGAAGAACAGCTAAGCAGAAATAAGCAGATTTTAAACAATGGGGAGTGCAATGGGCAGTGACAGAAAAGAAGGGACTTCCTGAGAAAGCACATTAGAGAAGCCTCCTCTGAAGACGGGATGTTTAAGCTAAGCTCAGAGGGGAATCCGAGTGTTGGGAGGGCGAATGGGACCATTCTAGAAGAAGGGGCAACATGTGCGAAGGTCCTGGGGATGGGAACCTGGCACCCTGGAGAAGCAGAAAGATCAGTGTTGCTAGAAAGGAGCAGATGTGAGTGGCCACGGGAGAGCTCAGTAATGCCAGGCACTTGGCAGACCTCAAGAGGGATTTTGGTGCTGCCTTAGAGAAATGGGTGGTCACAGAAGAGTTTTACACAATTTTATTTTGGAGAGGTTTTTGCTATAGGGCATGTGCGCTTGCCAGAAAGACAGAGAAAGATAGATAGCGAGAAATCACCCCCTGGGGGGATGGCCACTCCACAATCTCTTCTCCTCCATTCTCCTCTCAGGATCTTGGACATGCACACACACATGCCCGGTGTGAGTTTAAGCCACCGGGTTGGGACTCGAACCGCAGTCAACTACATGGGAGTCCAGAGACACAGCTATCATGCCAACTGCTGGTCCCCACAATTTTTTTTAAATGTTTGGTATAAGTTGCATGTACTTGCTGGAGAGAGAGTGAGAGAGAGAGAGTGGGAAAGAGAAAAGCCCTCCTGGGTTGGGAGGAGTTGGCCACGCTGCAATCCCTTCTCCTCTACTCTTCTTTCAGGATGTGGGTATGCATACACATGTGCCTGGTGTACCTTTTAGGCTGCCAGGGTCAGAACTTGCTTCAGGACTCACACAGTTGGCCATGTGGGATCCGGTTGCCTTAACCGCCATGCTACCACCTGGCCCATATATTTTCAAAAGCTTCCTTTGGCTCAGAGAGGGGTAAGAGTAACCCAGAGTGCTATCAGGAAACAACTGCACCAGTGCAGACACTGCACGAGCCACCAGGCAGCAGTGTGGAGAGACAGGACAAGTTAGAAATAGGTTTTGGAGGGGGCTGACAGGTGGCTTGGTGGTTAAGGGTGCTGGATTCCCACATGGCCGACTGTGGTTCAAGTCCTGGACCTGGCAGCTTGCTTTCTCATTTTCCTTCTCTCTCTCACACACACACACACACACACACACACACATACACTCACACTCTGCCCCTCTCTGGTCAAATTTTAAAAGAGAGAGAGGGAGAAAATTAAATAAAATAATTCTTAAAAAAAAGAAAAAGAAAAGAAAAGAAAGAGGTTTTGGAGGTAGAATTAACAGAACTGTGAATAGAAAGGGTCCTAGATGGGAAAGAGAGTGGGGGTTTGAAAAGCGAGAGTACTTAGGTGAGAAGACGGGCCAGTTTCTGAACTGGCCATATTTGTAAGGACCAATCAAGAGTTCCGTGTAGATGATCCAGGAGGCAGCTGGAGGGAATGGCGTGGTGCCCCAGTTGGAGCTGTGTATTTTGGAGTGGTCTGCAAGACATTTCTGAACTCTTGGTCAGTTTGAGATTGGAAAAAGGAGGAGATACCTTCCAAAGGCTGAAGAGTGGCTGATGGGGAGGGAATTCAGGGGAAAACGAAGGGAAAAGAGGGTCCCGAGGAGAGGATGGTGAGCAGCACCCCTGCCACTCAGTCCAGAATGAAAGGGCCAAGGAGTTTGGCCCGGATCTGACAACAATGAATGGGCTGTTCCGGAAATTCTACTCATCCGTCCTTGTGTTATACACCCCGCCCCCACCCCAGTATGTGCCAGTTTCACACTGGGCACTAGGCCTGCCTGTCAAGTGTCAATTTAGAGCCATTGCCATCTCAGAGCATAGACAGTCAGAAATTCTTTCATGCAGTCAAGATAAATCCTCATTCTTTGAAACCAGCAGAACAGGGACTTAGGAATACAGAAATGAACATACACGAACTTGGCCTTCCAGGAACCAAGTGCAGAGATACATAGCGAATCCCTGCACTTACCACATTAGATTGCAAAGACTCACACCTTGGGGACTGTGGAAGACAAGCACACAGGTACCGGCCCAGCTTGGGGCTTCAACATGGCAGAGGGGATGCCTGAGCAGCTCTCAAGGAAGGAGTGGAATTAGCCAGGGAAAGAGAAGGGGTAGGACTTCCAGGCTCAGCAGATGAAGGCAAGGACAAGTGTAAACAGCTTGGTGCATGCGGGGAATGTCCAGACTTTGGAGCTGACCAAGCAGAGGGGAGTGGTCTAGGTGTACAGGGCTAGAGGGTGCTGCTAACTCTTGGTGAGGTGTGTAGACGCAGGCTAGGAGATACCACTGAAGAGGTGGAAGCAAAGGAGCACGTGGTTGGATTTGCTCTCTGGCTGAGAGCGGGCCGAGTTTGGGGGAAATGGCAGTACAGGGACAGAGGTGGCTGCAGCGATCCAGGCAAGACAGGGAGGGCTGACCGGGGTAGCTGGGGGCAGAGAGGTACTATGGTCCAGCACCTCAGCATGGCCTTCTGAGGCAGGAGGACAGGGGTTCTAATTCCGCTGTGGCTGGTTCCAGCTTGTGAGACCTGAGGCAAGTCACGGAGCCTTGTTTTCTTCCTCCACAAAAGAGGATAATACTGCCCATAGAGCAGTCTTGGTCTCCCAGTGGGATCGTTGCAAAGTACCTAGCACAGGGCCTGCTCAGCTCACACTCTGTAAGTGGTTGTTACTGCCATGGTTCTACTGGGCATGGCGAGGAGGGGGCTGGTTTGACAGGTAAGTAGGAGGTAGAGTTGGCAGGTGCAGGGCAAAGACTGAGTCACTCACCCCAGCCTTGGGTCTGGGGTGGTAGGAGAGTGAGAGAGACAGAGGCAACCAGTTTGCTGCCTTCAGTCTGGGGTCCAGCCTCCAGAGGAGCTCCCAGTTTTATACTACCCTTCCCAGAACCACACTAAGCGTGCACGCACGTATGTGTGTGTGTGTCTGTGTATGTGGAGGGAAAGGAGCTTCAGAGAAAACAAATCCAGGCCCCCAGTCCTGTGGCTGGGAAGCACAGCTTCACGCTGACTTCCTTCTGATGAAACAGGTGGCAATGGCCTGAAGGGACTAATCGGTTATCCTTTGGGCTGGAGCCAGGAGGTCTGAGCTTTAGTACTGGCTCAGCTACAAATTATTCATGGGTCCCGAGAACCACTGTCTGTCTCTGGGACTCAGTTTCCCCACCTATAGAGAGTGATGTATAGATGGTGCCAGCCTTTCCAGCTCTGAGTTCTGGGATGATTCCACAGAGGAAGCCAATCAATGGTTGAAGGAGACCCTGGAAGGGGTGAGGGGACCCCATTCTTCCCCTGCTTTGGAAAATATCCCATAGTCCTTTGCATGGCTCCACCCACTCCCAATAGCCCCTGCCCCATGAGGTCTAGTCCACTTCTCAGTGGGAGAGGACTCTGTGGACAACATGAGCCTTACCACCCACCCTAAACCACCCCACCACAGTGGACCCCCTAACACCTCTCCCTTTCTTTCATCCCCAGTCTCCCACCGGCAGAGCAGGACTAAACTTTCCAGGCTAAGTTAAACGGATGGTCCCTGTTAGCCTGGTGACGGCCTCCTGCTTCCCCACCAACACCCCCTGTCAAAGGAGGCACGTCTGTGTGTGGGGGAGGCAGGTGAACAAGAGCATTTGGGTGGGGGTTGGAGGTCCCCTGCTCTAAGAGCAGGCATGGTGCCACCGGGGAAGAAACCAGCTGGAGAGGCCTCCAACTCCAACAAGAAGTGCAAGCGTTACTTCAACGAGCACTGGAAACAGGAGTTTCCCTGGCTGGACTTTGACTATGAGCGGAAGCTGATGTTTTGCCTCGAGTGCCGCCAGGCCCTGGTGCGGAACAAGCACGGCAAGGCCGAGAATGCCTTCACCGTGGGCACCGACAACTTCCAGCGCCATGCTCTGCTGCGCCATGTCACCTCGGGAGCCCACCGCCAGGCTCTGGCTGCCAACCAGGGCCAGCCTCAGGGAGGAGGGATCTGCCCAGGCTTGGATGCCATCCCCCACTCCAGGGGTGTCAAGGTGGAGGTGGATCCAGCTAAAGTGGCCGTGCTGACCACCGTGTACTGCATGGCCAAGGAGGACCTGCCTGATGACCGCTGCTCTGCCCTGCTTGAGCTGCAGAAGTTCAACCTGTGCCAGGCGCTGCTGGGCACAGAGCACGGCGATTACTACAGCCCCCAGAGGGTGAGGGACATGCAGGTGGGTGGCAGCCCGAGGTGTGGGGAGGCCGGGGAGGGAGGACACCAAGCCATATGGGAAGAACCCAGCCTGCCAGGGCACTTCGTTCAGACCCTCACCCTTCAGAACACTGGGGGCTTTGTGCCCGGCACTGGGCCAGGTGCAGGGGTCCACAGTGAAGAGGGAAGACCAGGCGCTGTCCCCTTCTCACCACCTAGACCAGAGGTTACAAACGGGTGGCCTGGGGGCTTGACTGGCCCACAGATGTGTTTTATGGGTTTTCACCAAAACTCAAATTCGTTTCTGACTTTTAAAAAATCAAGGATGACATGCAAACATCTGGCTTTGTGACTTCTACTGAAAAAGCGAAGTCCCCTTCTGTCAGGGCAGGATGTGGTGGGGTCAGAGATCAGGGCAAGAGCTTGTCCCTTCTCCCCGTTCCCTTGGTTGACCCTGGCCCCTGCAAGCATGTCAGTTGCAGCTGTCCTAGGTACTAGCTGTGTGTGTCCTGGGGTGCAGGATGGGGGGTGGGCAGTCAGATCTCACCCTAAGGCTCAGTGACAACTAGTCAGAGCACATAGCTGGGCCCTTATGTAACTAGCTGGTCAGGAGTTGGAGGTAGAGGTTATCAGTTAATCCCTGAGCTGGAGAGTGGAGGGAAGCCCAACCAGGGCGATGCTATAGAAGAAACATGAAAAAACTAGCCTTCCTAGAGCCTGTTATGGTTCTCAAAGCACTTTTACATTTGTAAGCACAACAAAAATTTGCTTTTAATTCATAACAACCCTATGAGGAGACTGGGCGCAGGCAGTAGCCTGATTTCAGAGCTGAGAAACCGAGGCTGAGAAAGGTGAAGTGACTCGCCCCAGGTAGCATAGCCAGTAAGAGACAAAGCCAGGGTTAATCCCTCAGTCTGTCCCGGGCTCTGTCCACTACCCTACACTGCCTGCCTTCCTCTCCTAGGATAAGCCTAACCCTGTCCTCCCTCCCTTTCTCTCCCTGGCTGTCCCAGGTGGCCATTGCCAGTGTCTTGCAGACAGAGACTTGCCAGCGCCTGAAGGCATCCCCGTATGTGGGGCTGGTGTTGGACGAGACCAAGGACTGGCCTGAGTCCCACAGTCTGGCCCTGTTTGCCACTTCTGTGTCCCCCTGCGATGGCCAGCCTACCACCACCTTCCTGGGCAGTGTGGAGCTACAGGAGGGTGAGGCCATGGCTGGCCAGCTCCTTGACATCCTGCAGGCCTTCGGTGTATCTGCACCTAAGCTGGCCTGGCTCAGCTCCAGCCTTCCCAGTGATCGCCTGGGGCCTGTGGGTCCACAGCTCCGCGCCGCCTGCCCACTGCTCATGGAGCTGCACTGCCTCCCTGGCCGGACAGATCCTGAGCCCCCTGCCTACCTGGGTGAATATGAGAGCATACTGGATGCCCTGTTCCGCCTCCACAGTGGCCCTAGTTTCCACATGGTCCCCGAGCTCAGGGCAGCACTGGAACTAGCAGCTATTGACTTGGCCGTGCCTCGGCCAGTACCCTGGGCCTCTCTGCTGCCTGTGGTGGAAGCAGTGGCTGACGCCTGGCCTTGCCTGGTGCTCGCCCTGGAGGCTGCTGCCTCAGCCTCGCCCATGGCTGGGGTCCTGGCCCTAGCTCTGCGCCAGTTCACCTTTGTCGCCTTCACTCACCTGCTGCTGGACGCTCTGCCCTCGGTGCAGAAGCTGGCCCTTGTCGTGCAGCCAGAAGAGCCAGACTTGGCTTTGCTGCAACCCCTGGTGATGACGGCTGCGGCCTCTCTGCAAGCTCAACACCGCTCAGGTGGGGCCCGACTCCAGGGCTTCCTGAAGGAACTGGAATCTTCAGATCCCAACTGCTGCACCTACCGCGGTGTGGAGCTGATTGGCTACTCTGAGGCTGCGGTCCGGGGCTTGGAGCGGCTCCGGGGGGCTTTCCTGGACTCCATGAGAAGGGGGCTGCGGGACTCCTATCCCGGGCCCTCGCTGGACGCAGTGGCCGCCTTCGGCTCGCTCTTCGACTCCCCCCGCCACCCCGCCGCGCCCG